ATGGTGTATTAAATTCTGAGAGTAAAAGAAGGCAGTATTTTACAGAGAATTGGGGTAGACCTAGTTGAATATGTTCTTGGTACAAGATTTGATACCCTGCGCAATCGCACCACTGGAACTTATGATCAGGTTGTTGTTACTGATAAATTTGTTTACATCCCTATTTTGAAAACTTTACAATTTATTTATAAACATCCTAACATAAACGAGATGATGCAGACTTCAAGTTCAGGAGAAAATCTTCATGACTTGTGTGATGGAGATCTTTTCAAGAGTCATGATCTATTTTCAAAACAGAAGCATGCCATTCCGATTCAGCTTTTTTATGATGATTTTGAAACTGCAAATCCTTTAGGATCAAAACGGGGAATACATAGATTAGGTGCAATCTATTTCACCTTGCGGAATTTCAATCAGTGTAACCAGTGATTTCCAACAAAACTACCTGTCAAACCTATGCCCTCTATACCAAAACCATGAGACTAATCAATAAAATATGGCTACCGTCAGAGAGATAAGACTCTGGCAAACGCGGAGATGTGTTTTTTATGTTTGTGGTCTTAAAATTGTGAGCTCAAGCTCAATATGCAAAACTGGTACCGTCTGCTTTCTTTGAGAAATGAGTGGTCAGATTTTAACATGGAGTCTAATGGAGCAGTTGGTTGGAGTTCATGTCGCTCTGTGGCTCTTTGAGCCAAATGTGTAAGTCCGTTGGATTCCACAGACATCTGTGTGCGACAGCACAACATTTCCAAGCTTTTTGGCCAAAAATGGTGTATAAAGAGTAAAAATTGTGGGAGCTGGAGCAACTTGTTTGGAAAAATCACAGAATATTTTCCTGCTCCGCTCCACTCTGACGGTTATGCTCTCACTCTAGCTCTTAACGAGCTGTGCAATACACACCCATTATAAAATCTGAAACAGACACAAAATTTTCCTGAAACTTAAACGTTGATTTAATGAAAACTGTGCTAGCTATCAAAATGTCCATTTGGCTCAATAAAGTGCAGCGTTTTGTCTACGTTTTAAACTTTGACTCATGTTTCTACGTTAAAGTATGGCTAGTCAATATGGGCCCAAAGTTAAGTGTTTTTTTTGCTCTCTTCATGCCGGAACCCCATTCAAGTGAATGGGGAAATTTTGCTCAGTTTTTCGGGAAAACCGCTTGGCGAATCTCTCCGAAAAATAGATAGCACACGATTCCCGATCAGGCCGCACACTTTGATGTATTTTTTACGCCGCTGTTGGCAACGCTGTGTGAGGAGAGGCGCGCCAAACTTTTGGATAAACCTGATTATTATTATTAAGCCCGGTGGATAATATACAGTGTGCTTTGGCACAGGCAGTTTTATTATTGTTTTACTATTCCCAGTTCACCCTCACTACACGTTTGGGCTTGCCGGGTCTTTCCAACCGGTTCCCCTGCCATCTGATCCAACTCACCACCAGGTGGTGATCAGTTGACAGCTCTGCTCCTCTCTTCACCCGAGTGTCCAAGACATACGGCCGCAAATCAAATGATACGATTACAAAGTCGATCATTGATCTCCGGCCTAAGGTGTTCTGGTACCAGGTACACTTATGAGGCCACCTTATGTTCGAACATGGTGTTCGTTATGGCCAAACCGTGGCAAGCACAGAAGTCCAATAAAGAAACACCATTCGGGGTTTAGATCGGGCAAGCCGTTCCTTCCAATCACCCCCCACCAGGTTTCTCCGTCATTGCCCACGTGAGCGTTGAAGTCCCCCAGGAGAACTATGGAGTCGGTAGGTGGCTCCCCGTAGGCGCATGGAGGCGACCCTCTCGTTCTCCGGGGAGAACTCCAACACAGCGGCGCTCAGCCGGGGGCTCGTGAGTATCCCCACTCCCGCCCGGCGCCTCTCACCCTGGGCAACTCCGGAAAAGCACAAAGTCCAACCCCTCTCCAGGAGCTTGGTTCCAGAGCCAAGGCTGTGTGTGGAGGTGAGTCCAACTATATCTAGCTGGTATCGCTCCACCTCCTGCACCAGGTCTGGCTCGTTCCCCGCTAGCGAGGTAACGTTCCACGTCCCTAGAGCTAGTCTATGCTGCCGGCGATTGGCATGCCCAGGCCTCCCGCTTGACCCGCCGCCCGGTCTGCATTGCACCCGACCCCGATGCTTGTCCCTGCGGGTGGTGTATTCACAGGGTGGCTGCTCTATGGTGTTTATTCGGGCTGAGCCCGACCGGGCCCCATGGGCGAAGGCCCGGCCACCAGACGCTCGCCTACGAGCTCCCCTCCTGGGTCTGGCTCCTGGAGGGTGCCCCGGTTTCCCTGGTCCGGGCGAGGTGGCTGAAGTCCGTGGGCTACTTATCATAAGGGTCGTTTTGAACCAACTCATCATCACCATCCATAAAGAAGAAAATGGTCGATTATTCTAAAGCCATATATTTGATTTAGTGGATACTCCACAGCCCTGTTATACACCACTATTCGTTTTATATTGTTTTGAATGACTTGTTTTATTGAATATCTAAATTATACATAAGCAACCTTACAGCATTATAACTGATTATTTATGTAAAATGTCCCCTGACACAAGCGATAAACATGTAAGGATAGTTGGTTGTAAAAGTGTTTTTGCAGAATGATGAAAACAAAGCGGAACTGTTCAGCTTCCTCTCCAAAGAGGGAACAACACATGTAAATACTGAGCTCTGCTCCTCCTGCCCTGGCCACCGACTAGGGACCAGGGCTCTTGATGGGATGGAGTGGACCTGACCAGGGCTTTAGGCTTAGTCCCGAGCTATAGTCCCGAGCTATAGCTGGGAATCATCAGGAGCAGTGACCGGAGGAGGGGCATCAGCAGCAGTACAGGGAGTGGTGACATCATGCACTCGAGCCCTGGTTGTGTTGGTTTGTGCTGGACAGAAGAGGATGGTGTCCATAAGCTTTTCTGCTTCCTGGATCTGGTAAAGTGTGGGTTTTCTTCCCACACTTTGCAATGACTCTGTGATTTTATTGGCCAGGCGGACACAGCTGACACAGTCCAATGGGGAGGTAAGGGAAGCCATTGTAGATGTGATGGCTGGGAAATTGAGAGCATTGCCTTCTGATTCAGCTCCCTCTCAACTACAACGGTCTGGCACAACTCCTACATCACTGCTGACGCTGAACTGCATTGCGTACATCTCCCGCTCCATTCGTGACTAGACCCCGAGATACTTGAACTCCCTCGCTTGGGGCAGTTACTCATTCTAAACTTGGAGCGCACTATTTCCAGCAGAGAACCAAAAAACTTTTTCAAATTTCCCATTCTCTGTTAATAAATATCGACAGAGCCGTTACTCTTATAGGTTGAAATATGTACCTCCTTTTCTCAGTTTTTTCAAGTTTTTCTTTGATCCAGATAATTAAAAAATAAATAAATAAATCAAGTATGAGGGCATCCAGTGACGATTTGACAGGCTGCAGAAAATAAGTTCCATCATCTGCATATAATGTTTTTTTGTTTCTAACCCATTGGGTTTTAAACCTGTCACGCATTCTTTCTTTTGCATTCTTATAGCAAGGATTTTAATGAATTGTAAGAATAAGTATGGAGACAGCAGTCACCCCTGACGTACGCCTCTAGTGAAACCTTTAGATAACTAACCATTGTTTATACATGACCCGTTTTATGAGGGTTTCCCCAAAATAAAGACCTGAAGCACGTTTTGAATGAAATCCCATCTTTATTTGTTGAATGCTTTTTTAAAGTCAGCAATAAATAGAAGCCCAGGTTTTTGATAATTTTCATAATAGACTTAAGTATCAAGAAGATACTGTCATGGGCAGCCCACTACTCCCTACACAGGGATGGGTCCAATGCAGAGACAAATTTCCCCCTTACCCGGATGAATATAGTATAATAATAAATAAAATTTTAAAAAAAGATGCCGTTTGTTACGACAAAATAATGCGCCTCATTGCAATACATATATAGAGGATACAGGTAACACACCAAAGCAATGTCAGTGGTCTCCAGTGTGTATACAGGATCTCTGTAATGCCCCTCTAGATCTTGCTTTAGGAGTAATTGACATGATGCCCTCTGTGTGGCTGATAATATCCAGAGTGAAGGAGTGGTTAAAAGATGTCATCAGAGGTCTTTAAATAGGAATGCCATCAATCCTCGGTGAAAGATTTAATGGCATTCAGTAACTCTCCTTGTAAAATTGTATCTTCACAACTTAATTGCTGATAGTTTTTTTTGTAAAAAATAATTCAATATTGGAGAATGTGAGAGATTGTGGCTCCTTGATAATACCATTTACAAGCTCAGCATCTAGTTGTTTATTGTTTGATGTTGTTCCTCAGCAGGTCAGTTGCACTTCATCCAGCCTTCTATTCACTTCATTTATCTTTTCCATTACTCTCTTTTATCAAATATCTTTTTGTTTCCATGACTCCATCACTTACATGCCTCCCAGAAGTTGAATGGGTCAGATGAATTTGTATTACTTATTTTGGTTCTTTAGTTGTTTTTTTATAAACATAGTATCATTATAAGTGATAACTTATAATGTAGCCATAACTTGAATTGTTACAATAGCATCAGATCTTAGGCGGTCACTAATAATACATTAGGAACAAGAGTAAAGGAGATAAGATAATCAAAAGGACTAGCTTGATATATGTAGGCAGGGCTCAAATGCAGATTCCGATGGGCTGATAGAAAGAAAATGCTTTGATTAAGCAAAAAGCCTAAAAACTGAGATTCTAAAACACAGGCAGAAACAGCTGGCAGATACATACGAATCAAAACACTAAAATATCTAAAATCATTGCGAGCACAGACTTGTAAACAGGTAAAGGAGGGAAATAACGAGGGACAGGTGAAGCTCATAGGGGGGGCAGACAATCAGCTGTCAGCAACAAACATGGAGACAAAATGAGTTGAAGAGTTCAAACAGAGTTTAACCCTTAAATGACTTCTGTCTATTTCAGTTTACAGAACTCAGCAGAGTCTTCACACAAAAAAACCAATAGTCCAGCATAGAGAGGCTGAGTGAATGTGGTCTGGACTCTGTGGAGGAGAGTCATGGTTTCAGAGACGCTGTAGAAGGACAGAATACCTGCTTTGTGATCCAGGTACACTCCTACTCTGGAGGACAGAGGACCTGAGACGGGAGTTTGGAAACTGTTGTACAAAAAGTTATAACTGTTATTATAACATATTAATGCCCAAAGGACTGCTCTTGATGCTGGATGAGTCTGTAGACAGTGAGGGGTAGTTGTGTAGAAACTGGTTGAGATCCTCTGTGTGTGAGAGCTTCTTCAGCTCAGCGTCGTTCCTCTTCAGCTCAGTGATCTCCTGCTCCAGCTTCTCCTGAAGCTCTTTGACTCGACTCGCTTCAGTTCTCTGCTGGGATCTGACCTGCTGCTTCACATCGGAGCTTCTTTTCTCCATGAGATGGATCAGCTCAGTGAAGATCTTCTCATTGTCCTCCACTGCTTTATCAGCAGAGAGATTGATGTCCTCCACCACCTGTTGAAGCAGCTTCACATCTTTCTCTCTGTCCTGGATTCTCTGCTGGATGTTTAATCGACTCACCTCCAGCTCTCTCTGCCTGTCAGTTCTTTCTGCTGCAGCTGAGACTGTGTCGTGGCCTTTATGTTCCTCCACAGAGCAGAGATAACAGATACACTGCTGATCAGTACGACAGAACATCTTCATCACCTCACCATGATGAGAGCAGATGTTCTCCTGGAGCTTGTTGGAGGGGTCCACCAGCTTGTGTTTCTTTAATGGAGCTGATTCGTAATGAGGCTGAAGGTGTTTCTCACAGTAAGATATCAAACATTGCAGACAGGACTTGAAGGCTTTCAGTTTCCTCCCAGTGCAGACATCACAGGCCACATCTTCAGGTCCAGCATAGCAGTGATCAGCAGGAGCAGCTTGGAGTCCAGTCTTCTTCAGTTGCTCCACTAAATCTGCTGACATGGTGCTTTTCAGCAGGACAGACCTCGGTGTGAAGGTCTGCCTACACTGAGGGCAGCTGAGGAGTTTCTTCTCCTCCTCTTCATCCTAATGTGTTTTAATACACATTAGCTGTGTCCACAGGGAATAGTCACCGGATCCATCAGTAGATCCAGACAGATGGAACAAGAGAAGCTTTCCTGAGCCATTTTCTCGTCGTGGCAGACACTTTGTGAGTTTCTCTGATTATAAAACAAACATCTGAGTCATTCATTCATTATCCAAACCGCTTATCCTGTTCAGGGTCGCGGGGCGCTGGAGCCGATCCCAGCTGACATTGGGCAATGGCAGGGTCCACCCTGGACAGGTCGCCAGTTCATCGCAGGGCACATGTAGAGACAGACAAACATTCACGCTCACATTCACACCTACGGGCAATTTTGAGTCTCCAAATAACCTAAGCTGCATGTCTTTGGACTGTGGGAGGAAGCCAGAGAACCCGGAGAGAACATGCAAACTCCACACAGAAGGACCACCCGGGATTGGGGATCGAACCCGGGCCCCTCTTGCTGTGAGGCGATAGTGCTAGCCACTACACCACCATGCAGCCACAAACATCTGAGTTTACATCAAAAATCTCTTCTTTGTTTCTGTTCATCTGCTGATCTTCACTGAATGAGGTTTCTGCTCCAAACAAGGCGACATGTGCACATGTGGAGCTGGCTGTGTTTTACAGCAAGAAGAAGAGGGAGGAGCTATCAAGCTTTCATGTATATTTTTTGTACTACCTTGTCATTTGCAAGTGCCTTCATGATATGTGTTGTTGATCTGACTTTTTTACAGGGCTAAACATAAAAAAATCAGATTTTTCTGTGTGCCTGCTAAGCCCATGGAACCCTGCACTCAAAGATGACAAAGATGTATCACTTTTAAAGCTTACGGATAGTAGTTATAAGGGTACTAATTGTACCCCCATGTGGGTAGTTAGGTACAGTAATTATTGGCCAACAACAGCTGCTAGCATCTATGACATGATATGATCTATACTGATACTGGTTGAGGGTTTAGGTTTGAACACTGTTGTAACTCTTAACAATCAGATATGTGATTTTTAACCCAGTGATAGTTAGAGCCCCAAGTGTTTTTGATGGGCTTGCTGGGCCTCACATTAGACCCATTCTGTACTTTCAACATGTATGTATGCCAACATGTAGTCATACGTGGCAACCAGGGGCGTCGTTAGGCCTATTTTAGGGGGGCTGAAGCCCCCCTAAAATGTTCTTCAGCCCTCCCAAATAATTTGGCATTATTGGCTTTAAAAAAAAAGCCAATTTTTTTTTGGTGATGTCATTAAACTATTGTTTCTCACATGGACAAGTTATTTATAACTAACATGCTACATATGTGCGTGCATTCTGGTTTGTATGTTTTCTCCCCCTTCAAATTACAATCCAATAGCCTATCATCATACTTAACGATATAAAGTTGACACTGTCAGGTCCATTCTCCATCCATTGTGTACGGTCCCTTTAAGAATTAGGATTTGGGAGTGACGCGGATATGAAAGCTAGTTTATCCGTCTTTCCTTTACAAGTAGGAACATTATTTCTCTCTCTCTTTATTTGACAAAAGTTCATATTTGTGTTGTCAAATTTCACTATGACCCTGAAATTCTGTCTCCTGTGTTATCATATACTGAATGCAAGCAAAACTACAGAGCAAAATCACACTCTTTCTGATTGAACCAATCTATGAACTGTCTGAAACAATGGATATCCACGGCCCCAAATGGGCCCCAAAAACAATTGCCGCGCGCTATGCGCGCAAACATGCCACTCCCCTTGGGGCTAAGCCCCCCCCTTTCTTTGAATCCTAGAAATGCCCCTGGTGGCAACCCATAAGAGAAAGGAAACAAAAGAAATGTCATTTCAGCTACAGTAATGATTTTGTCTTGTCTGCCTTAAGTCCCACTCTTACCTTGTCTACACAGACTGCATAATGAAAGTCATCAGAGTGTCAGTTTTAAGCTCTCTGTCAGTGTCTACACAAGATGTGTTCAGACATACTTCTGTGTAGGTCATGTACGTTTTGGCAGTGCTCAGACACTTCAGGGGAACTGAGCAACGGGAGGTCGGTGACTGTTGTGTCCACATCTTCACAGAGACCTGGCTCCATCGCGGCATCCTGGTCCACTTGACGAGAGGACCGAGGACAGAGAGCAGGACTCCGGTGGGGACAGAGGAGGTGGTTGGTTGCTCAAACACAGTCAAAGTTGACAATGTTTGAATTTTCTATGTCAAAATGTGGGCCATATTATCTGCCCAGATATTTGTCTTGTTGCTGCTGTTTACATTCCTTATGATGCAAATTCAAAATAAAAATGCACTACAGGAATGTACTACTGTTTTGTATTGTTTGTTCTTTTGGGTGCGACTGTGGCTCAGAGCGGGTCGTCCTTCAATCAGAAGATCGGAGGTCGATCCCCAGCTCTGCTAGTCCATGTCGATGTGCAAGACACTTAAACCCAAATTGCTCCCATAACTTGTGCCTGTGGTGTGTGAATGTGTGTGAATGTCAGAGAGTCCTGATGGGCAGGTGGCACCCTGAATGGTAGCCTGTCATCAGTGTATGAATGGTTGTGAACGGGTGAATGACATTAAGTGTAAAAGCGCTTTGAATGATTGAGAGACTAGAAAAGCACTATACAAGTCCCTTTACCATTTGTTTGTCATGTTTTTCTTGTGTTGCAGTTCATTGTGTATCCCTGTGTTGCATAATGACAATAAATTATCCTTGAATCCTTTAAAAAATGAAGTCACTGTAGATGGTGAACCGCGAGCCATAAGATGACCACTAGATGTCTGTATTGATTAAAATGCATCTGAAAGTGTACACTATGAAAACCAGACATTCAGAAAGTTTGAAGAGTTTGCAATTGACAATTCAAATATTTCTTTATAATTAAATTAGATTATTAGATAATATTAACATCAAAATGACATTGATTTCATTTGATATGACAGTGACAAAGGTTACTCCATTGTTCTTGTCCACCATGGATGGAAAAAGTAATACAATATTTTTGCTCAAGTAAAAGTACTGTTGCTTTAAAGATATTTCAAGAAAACTTTCTTGTGTAAAAGTTCAAAAGTAGGTCAGTTAAAATATAATCTGAGTAAATTCTAAAGAATATTCTATTAACCATCTCTCTTTGGAATATTATTACCATATTAATGGGTTTTAAAGTGAAAGTAGTTTTGAAAGCATGCTGGCAGTTTTGTGCTACGCTAGGCTAAACACATCGTAGCTGTCACAAAATAATATGCACAGATTAGTTCAAATGACTTCCTTTCTAAAAGTGTAGGTGCTGTCAAATATGTACTTATCCTATCTAAGTCCAATGTGATCATGGAAGGTTTGTCATTCTAATGAAACATTGTCTGGAAAAAGACACAAGCAATCCACTGTCAGTGGGACTTCCTTGTTTAAATATGTGCACACTTACATCTGTCTCTCTCTCTTTTTATATATATATATATATATATATATATATTATATTTATATAATATATATATATATATATATATTATATTTATATAATATATATATAAAGGGTTTAGTTTATCCAGCTCTCTCTGACTTTAATTGTATCCATAATGAAAGTTATTGAGGGAAATATCAGCTCATGAAAACACAAATCTTTCTAATAAATGAAGAAAGTTGTTTGTGGTCCTTTTGTTGTTTAGATCTACAATGAACATTTATTTAAACCAGATGTTGAATCAGAAAACTAATCAAATATAAAGCTCGAGTTTAATCTGCAATCCGTCTTCACTGTTTACATGTTGAAAAAAATCGTATCAGTCCGATCGGCTGCAGCGTCCAATCACACAGATGAACAATGAGGGGGCGTGTCAGCCGTTAAAAGACTTCCCGGAAGGCTGTTACATTACATTACAGTCATTTAGCAGACACTTTTATCCAAAGCGACTTACAATTCAGAGTCTCACATTTCTACACCGTAGGCACAGCTACGGGAGCAATTTTGGGGTTAAGTGTCTTGCTCAAGGACACATCAACATGCGACTAGCTAGATTGAACCGCCAACCCTCTGATTGAAAGACGGCCCTGCTATCCACTTAGCCACAGTCACCCACAGGTCTGTTCTCGTGGGTCCTCGCTCATGGCTCCTCGGAGATCCCTCCTCTCTCCTCGATCCTCGCTCCTCCGAGCTAAATAAGAGCTTTGGGACGGCCGTCAATATGGCGGTGCAGAACAACTTCCGGTTCAAGCGAGGATCGAGGAGCAAGGAAATGACAATTAAGAGACTTGGGATGTACCCAAAGACGCAAGGAAAGGATGCAAGTGAGGGAAGCAGGGATGCAATTAAGAGACTTGGGATGTACCCCAAGACCTCTGAAGGATGAGAGAGAATGCAATCAGAGACCTAGTGAGTTGACTTTTCTAATTCAGGAGAGACCCTGGCCACTGACTCTGAAGTAAACAGCACAAAGGTGTTTAGGTTTGTGGATAGTTGAGTTTACAGAGACTTCCCTCAAGCTTTTCTGCACGAAGAAGCATTCTGGACAGCTTTCCTGGAGAGTGTGGCTCTTAATTTACTGTTGGCACATTATTATCAGCATAGGTACACGCCCCCTAAACACCATATAAGAGCAGGCGTTATGCCATGTGCAAATACGCATGCCCAAGAATTGGAGATTTGTCACCAGTAGGAAAGTTGAAAAAGCATCGAAGAGCAGTTTGGAAACTGCTCTTCAGAAGCTGAACGGACACAATATCACCCGAAGGTTTTAATAGTCTTTATAAGATCAAAGGCCTGAAAGTGTTTCCTTAATAATCCAATCATTAGAATTACTCTAAAACACAGTAATCTAAATGAATAATTATGATATATATTTACTTTAAGTCATTACTGTGAGAGTGTAACTTTAATGCTGACAAATTGGCCAGAGATGGCAATCTTTAAAATGATTTACAATTTAAACAGTTTTAACAATAACATCCTCATTAACATCTTCGTCAAACATTTAACATATTATATATCATTTAAGGACAAACCAGAATTCTGTCAAGAAGTATGCAGAAGATATGCTGGGATCAGAGTCAAGATTTTAATTCATTTAATCATCAAAATACATGATTCATTTCTAATTACAGAGAAAGAGTTTTGTTTTTATTTTTGGCAGTATAGGAAATCTTTCATTGTCTTTATTCAAAAGTTACACTTTTGATGGTTAAGCAGACTTTAATATGCATAAATCTCCCAGGAGACGTGTTGCATGTCAAGGTATTATCAATATGTAGTTATTGTTATGCAGCAGAATGGCTCCTGACAGAGCAGTTCTATGATTATATGTATAGACTATATTATTATAACTACAAATGCAGAAAATGTAAGCAGCATTTCAAAGTTGAGAGCTTGTCAAACTAAAAAAATGAACTAATTTAACAGATTGCATCATTATCGACGTTCCGATAATAAAGTCTGAATCTGCAGAAGAAGTGACTATAACTGTCAGATAAGTGGAGAGAACAAGAACAAGAGTTCCTCCTCAGAAGCTTGTCACACTAGAAACATTCCATCGCTCACACATCTCTGAAGAACGCCAGTGGATCCAGGAAAGAAAGCTTATCACATCAAACAAAGCTTTGTGTTGCAGCCACAGACTTTAATGTCCCGTATGTCAAACATCTAATGTGAAGGTCCATCTCTCCCAGTGTGCACTTCATATATGGCTTCTAGAACATTCCCACTCTAAGAAAACATATAAACGTTGCATTGCTTGTAATAATCTTTTTTCCTAAATAAGACATGTGGATGTATTTAAAGGACAGTATGCATGAGGTCTTTCTACACATTTCTCTGTCAGTAACACAACACGTGTGATCTCCACTGGTTTTCATTTGCAGTGGAAGCTGTTCCTGAAGTGGTCTTTATACAGGAGGACCCACGCATGTCTGTCTCTCTTGAGAGTGCCCAACTGACAATTTCATTATCCTCAAAGAAATCCTTAAATAAACACTTAACTGAAAACAAATTCGTACTCAGTTTTACATCTTTTCTCTGACAAAGTGCCATATCATCATTTTTCTCTAAATAAATTAAACACAAAGAAATGCACAACATATACATATTAACAAAAGTTTCATTCACACTTTCACTGCCTTCTGTGAATCTCTGTGTGAACCGATGAAATTAAGTCAGTGTCTGCTCTCACATTAGGCAGTGAAAATGTAACGAATTGATTAGATTAACTGCTGTTATTTTTGCACAGTTGAGAGTCCCATCATCAGCCAATCATTGTCTTCTGTTGTCTAGAGGCGGGGTCTAGCTCAGGCATGGCTGACTGGCAGTTGTGTCAGCGAATGGGACATGAGTGGCTGAAGCAAAAGTGGGTCTGGACTTTGGACTAAGGGAGTCAAAAGAATGATGAATGATGAATGCAATTGAGAGACTGTTACTTCAAATCAGAATGTTATTTCTGTGACAATAACTACATGTTTTTAATAAACATTTATTTTCTGTGATTCCTTTAGGTAGGCTTTCACCTTGCAGCCGTACAGACTATACACAGCTCTTTTATTGAGGATTCATATTGTTAGCACTGGGCTAAAAAGCTTTGTTTCTCACCATCCATATAAGTCAGTGTGGTGAGGAGGGGTGCGTCTGGGGAAATATAGGTTGTGTATTGCAGGTCCTCCATCAAAGGTGGCGTCAGCTGGCCAAGAGCAAACGATGTCATCAGGGAGGAGGCAGAATTTGGGCTGATGTATTTCTTTTGACGAGCTCGACAGTTCTGAAACCAAACCTGAACAGGGAGAACAGACTGATAACTGGATTTAGAGCCTGGTTGCAAGATTTGACTCCTGGGTCCTGCAGCTTCACCGTACAAAGCTATCATTCTTGCCCAAGTTTATCCCAAGTTGATTTCTCCATCAAATGTTTTGGTGTTCACTAGTGAGAGGCTTTACCTGAATAACCCTGCGGCTGAGACCGGTCCTCTCTGCCAGTTTCTGCAGAGTCTGGGCGTCTGGGTTGTTATCTTTAGTAAACTGAGTCTGCATCACCTACACATGTAGAGATGACAGAGGGGAACACGTTAACATGGTTCAATGTTTTGTTGAGTTTGATAATGTTGGTAGTAACAGATTAGAATAGACGCCTGCACTGAGAGCTCAGTCTGTGTTTAAATACAATGTAGACTAGAGGGCAGACAACATCAGAACTAGTGACCAAATGTTACTGGCCCATACATTCACTTTGAATACACTCACATATGTACACATTCAGCAGTAACAGAGCAACATAGCATTCATTTGAAGTCAACTAATCTAAGTCAAACATTCACTCTCATTTTAACTCTGTTTTGAGACATTCACCTGGGTGTGCAGCTTGCTGAAATACAGTCTATCAGTGAGATGAACAGATGTGATACCGAGGTGGAATACTGGATATCCCTACTAATCATAGCATCACTGCCAAGTGGGGCAAAGCAGCCCCACCTACTGGCAGCAGATAAAAGTGTGGTACTGAAAAACTTAGAAATTGATATCATTCTAAGCAGCTGTGTGCTCATTGCATTGGTAACTTTCACAGGTGTAACTGACTAATAGCGTCAGTTACACCTGTGACTAATAGCCCTGTAAAACATAGCCCTGTTGCATTTAGGTGGGTCAGTGTTCCGGTACAATGCACGCTGGCTCACTAGAACGGCTGTGATACACTACATGCAATGGGAGCATAATTCATTTAATCAGTAACACCTGTTTATCCTGCTGTGACTTATCAAGATCAGCTGCTGTGTGAAGGGTCTATTACCACCTGTGTTAAACTGTATGGAAAATGTGAAACAGCGCATCATGTCAACTTGTTAAAAATTGTGTAATTTTCTGGTCTGTCCAAAATAGTTGTTGCTCCACTATTTCTTTCCCACCTGCACTGCAGTCAGAAGAGAAATAGCCCAGTAAATCACAGCAGCAAACAAGTTGAGCCACACGGTTCGGCCGTACCTGTAACTGGTCTACAGTGAAGCTGGTCCTGGCCCTCTTAGCAGGTCTGGTCATGGTGCTGGACTCGTCTTTCTCTGCCTCCTCATCGTCTACTTTGGGTTGCTCTTGAAGACAAGACGTGCAACAAGGGTCATTTGACATGTTGGAAATATGGGCCCTGTTTCAGAAGAGCTTTCTCCTGTGGGCGTCTTCCAAAGCACTGGCACATACTCGAGTATTTGGTATCAAAGCTGCCCCCTGCACATAGCCACAGTGGGTTGATTAATGAGATTTGTATAACATTAAGTTATATTCTATTTAGAATCAATCTTCTGACTTTTGTCTACCATCGCTTAACCAGTCCCTTGTTACCCGTCCCTTTACTCACCATTTTCTTTAGTGCGTTTGATGTTCTCCATCATGATGTCATAGTGGGGCCGGCAGAAGACCCTGTTCTCCAGCAGTCCGCATTCCTCCCCGGTGGACAGCTGGCGCTTACAGGAGGTGCAGGAGAAACAAGTCAGGTGGAAGGTGCTGCCTCGAGCCCGACGCACCCAGTCGCTGGAGTGGATGTTACGGCCACAACGGGCGCAGCGGGTCCCATACCTCCTGAATAAAGACGTGGAACAGTCCCTCAGCTTTGGTTTGAGATGTGATCAGGTTATTGATCAGTGATGGTATCATCAAGCGATCAGTCTTTAAGGAGATGTTCTGAGCAAGTCTCACTCTCACCCTGCTACAGGTCAATAGGGGAAATATTTAAACGAATAGATATCACCATGAAGCTTCACCACTTTATTACCTATATTAACACAATTATTTGTTGTATTACAAGTCTTCTGATAAGTTATGTTTAAAAATGCAAATGAGACATGATCCTTTTTAATATGTACTAACTTGCATACATTTCCAAAAAAACACATCTGAACATTGAAGCCAGGTTCAAAATGATTGTTTTATTTTTTGTGATGTATTAGAGTCAAAGGTTTTCACAGAGGGAATTTTGGATCTCTCTTATCGGTCCAGAAATCAGAAAATACAGCCACTAAAAAAATATATATATCATTAATGATATATTAATGCTGTAGTAATATTAATAATAATAATAATAATATGCAAGAGCTACTGAAGAGGAGATTTCTGGCTCAGACTCTAAGAAAAATCGAATTTAGAGAAACGGCCTTTAAAAGATACAAGTTGTGAAATTACATAAATATTTCAGTTTTCTGAAATGATATGTTTTAATATGCAAATTATGTATTAACTAACGGTAACTTTTGGTGAATTTAGGAGAAATCTACAGACACAAATAGAGATAGTGTAATTTGCATATTTTCTTACACTAGTCTGAAGGAAGAGATTTCATGGAAGCAAAATAGCCCGAAATCGCAAAATTAACCAATCCTTTGTAAACAAATGGTTATGTATTTTGGAGCGATAATATTCATTTCCCCCGGGTGATAAAGCTGTGCAGCCTTTTCTCTTGTCTGCTCTCGGAGACACAGATACCCGTGTCCTCCTTATGTTGAGCCTCCCGTTTCTCCTCAGAGCTCAGTCTTTGTTAAAGCTCTTCTCGGCCTCCGTGGGCTCTGGGAGTAATGTGCACTCTATTGAGAGACTCCTCCTCTTAACGGTTAGTCAAAATAAAATAAAAAACTAAATAAAAGCTATGTTCAAAAAAGTCTGTGCACAAAAAAAAAGAAGCAAATTTCTAGATTGAGGTTTATCCATCTATCAGATTCAGATCCAACAATTGAATGATTGAAGGATGGTATTGTCTTTCTTTGCATGTTGTCATTGAGTCCCAGACATTCAGGATGGGATAAGTTCAGAATATAGAAATGATGCTTGAATTCAATTCAGTGATCTTCACCTCAAACACAGAGCACACCGTCCTTGTGTTTGTTGACAGAACGTGTGCACACTAAATATTTTCCTTCCTCTGTGTTTTGTCCACAGAGCTGAAAAGCACATATTTACTAAACAATTTTTTACAGACTGTATGAAAAGCTCATTTTCAGATGTAACTGTTAATCTCTTAAATGATCTGGTCAGGTATTATAATGTTTAGTCAAGAACCCTCAGTCTTTTCTTACATGATGCTTATTTATAAAGGAAGGTCATGGAGATAAAAGTGTGTCAGGACTGACTCACCTGAAGTAGTCCAGTTTGCAGAACACCTGTCTGTCCTTGATGTAGCAGCTCACGTGTCGCCCCAGCGATGTGTTACAAACACTGCACGAGAGGCAACGCACGTGCCAGCACAAGTTGTTCACCTGAGATGGAGAAAAAATGTAACATGATATAACTTACAAGTGACATTTTACACATCCCTTAATGGTGTGTTTTATAACTGATGGCAATAGAGGATGCTCACATTCTTCACAATGCATTTATTTTAGTTATTGCAATTTCAGATGATCCTACTGGTTATTCACCAGAATGTTGTCACAAGCTACTTAGCCTATATGCTAATATGCTTATCAAGGAATGTAACTATGAGTGCATAGCATAGACTGCAGGATTTGAGTATTCTGGTGTATAATTTTGTAGTTTTAAAATTCAGATAGCTTATTCCTCAATTAAAGACTAACTGTAAAATATACAAAACAATTGTTTAAAATACCCAAAAAAACTGTTTGCCTTACCAGGAGCCTCAGCCTACATTATTCTTACTTTTAAGAAGAAAATAATATCTATGTAGGGTGGAATAATGTACACTTAGCAAAAAGAGTCCATTTAATTAAAACAAATATCCTAAAGTAAAGTGACACACTGATTTGTACTTGTTTTAGTTTACCTTGGCCTAATTTTGTTTTCAATCACATCTTGCCATACAGTATATACATATATTTGTTTATTCATATTTATGTGCGCGTCTGACCTTGAGGAGGTATCTGTCCACTATATCCTGGCCGCAGGAGGTGCACAGGGTCTTCCCCTGAAGGGAGCCCACAGTGCAGACGGAGGCCGAGGAGGACGGGGAGAGGGAGGACGGAGAGTAGGAATCCTCCTCGAAAATATCCTCAGGCCCAGAGGAACCCTGTCAGAAGCAAACAGTCTGACAATGTCACTCACCACACTCAGCGTTTAACCGTGTTAGAGTAAAATAAATATAATTTCATAAAATACATATCACAAATAATTCAGCGCGTCGTTGAGTTTGACGAAAGTTCACTCAAATAAAACAAAGGTCCGACTTATGAGACGTGTGAACATAAAACAGCGTTGTTTGGCTAGCATAATATATGTTTCTATAAAAGGCTAAATGTTCTGCCCCGTGGCTTTATTTAGCGCCACTTTGAAGTGCGCGCGAGCTACATTTCGACCCTTCACACAACGTCTACAAGCTGAGAGACTTCAGAAAGAATAAGTAGCAGGTTAGGAAGTGAAACACCTACTGTGTCGACATAAATGTTTCCTTGTTGCAGCTGAGTGAAAACATCCTCCGCAGGTCTCCTCTCATCCTCATACATTGTGTTGGCGAGTCCGGAATAATGCTCGAGACACAATGACGACCAAGGTGCCACAGTCCCGTTCATATTTCCATGACAACCGGTCATAAGCCCACGCGCTAATAAAGGTGACCCACCCAAAACAAAATACTCGCTCAAACTTTTTTGGAGGAATTTTTTTGTGTGTCTTTATTTTTATTTATGTGCTGCCGTATGTCGGAGTGGGACGCTGCAGACGTGGACCGGACTGGTCCACGATTCACTTTGCAATGGAAGCCATAACGAAGTGTCCATGTGCACAATTAGCTAATCCTTCTCGGGGAAACCGGCCTCGCGCACAGCTGAATATGATTCTGACTAATTGTGTTCAGGCGCGCACGTGCACATGATTAGGAGCCATCAGCTGGGCGCTGACGAGTCTTTACCTCTGGCTTTGTGTCAGAGACGGCCCGGTGTGTTCACCTAAACACACCTTTTTAACGAGAGGAGTTCCACCTGAGAAACTCTGGTCACATATCAATGCTGCCTTTTATCTGTTCAAATGAAAATAAATAATAAAAAATAAATAATAACGCTAATGGAAATCATAATACGTGATCATTATTATTAGTAATATAAGTAGTAGTAGTATCAATCGGAATAACAATAATAAAAGCACAAATTTAGATAAAATCACAATTATATAATTGGCTCACATTCTGCACCCTTCACACTACATTTTGGGCCAAAGATAGCTGTTGGAATAATTATCATTTTGTAATGTTAAGCTGCTTTTATTGGATGTTGGATAAATAATGTGAATATACTAATACAGGTCGGCCTAAGTACATTTTGGATTGACCTCTCATCAAAAGAGATCGGAATATAATAATGTGTAAACCAAATAATGGATAAAACTAAATAATAAATCCTGCACGCATTAGCCCTGTATTTTTGTTTTGTTGTTTTGGCATCTAAAATGAATTGTTAATGTCTCATTTATGATTTGGACCTACATGGTTTCACTGTATTATGTTTCGGTTACACAATGGAATATTGGTAAGTGGGGTAACAGCACATGTTTAAATGATTTTCACACAGATTTACACCTTTTCATTGGCACAAAATAATAATAAAAAAATGTAAATAACTTGAAAAATAGCCCTATACAATCCTCCATAAGAGGGTTTTTTTGCATGGTGGATTTATACGAAAAGAATCATAGTCTAATAATTCAATTGCGGTAATAACTTTTTCAGAATGAATGAATTCAGTCTATTTAGTTCAGATATGCTGTGATATGAGTAGGGCTACTATTTATTATTATTATATTATTATAGTCAAATCTTTTTGAAGTCGGACACTTTCTATATCTTGTTACTCACCACGCTGTTGGAGACACAGTTAAACATGTTCCCGTAGCATCTGCCGGCTCCTCCGGTACATCCCCCGTGCGGGCCAGATGTTTGTCGTATATTCCACAGCAGCAGACCGGGAGCCCGACCCCGGTATCTTAGTCCACTGTTTACTCCTGCTTGTCAACCCCACTCCCTTCAGCCTCGCTTCGTGCTCCTCTCTCACTATTTGTGAGCGCCACAACTTCCCCCCCTTGCCATTTTAAAGCAGCCCGGTGTACCTCCCACTGAGATCACACCCGCCCGCTGCGGCATCAATGGACAGTTATAGAATTATTTATTGCGAGGAGCAATTTTTTCTTTCTTTTCCTTTAAAAAAATAATTTAAACAACTAAATTATTTTCATTGTCATCACGGAACTTCAATTCAGGCTCATGCAGGAGAAAATGTGTGTTGACATCATTATATTCTCTCCAGAGTCAGTTTGGCTGTAGTGCTTTAAGAGAAGCCGATCTTTAACACTCAAAGATCTTTCAGATTCACTTAGCCCTGGTCTGACATTATCAGTGTTTCTCATCTTTTTCTTTCTTGCCATCAGGGACATCATGAACACCTCCAGGTCAAATGTGTGCCTTCAACTTTTCTGTTTTAAGGAGCGATGCAGAGTGAAGGAGGGTCTGTCAGTGCCAAGTATCAGAGAGAGGGCTCTTGATTCTAGGCTATGTCCTCCTCCACATTACCTCGTCAGACTCTAAACGGAGGTGACGGCAGACCAAAGACTGGGGTCAAAAGGCCTCAGTGAAAACATTCTCAGAGGGCACTTTGTGGATGGCGAGGCAAGAGACATGGGGTCAAGAGTCCCTTTGGGTCTTATCTGTGCATATTCGTCTGCAACCCAATATCTCAGTGCCCCAGCCCTCCACAGGGCTCTTCAGGATAATTTTGCATGACATGGATGAAAGACTCTTAGAGTCTTAAAAACTCTTAAAAGAAAGGAGCAATGAGACCATTAAAACTAATCTGAAAACTGAAAGAAAATCAGCAGCACTAAAATGATCTCATTTCTAAATTAAGTCCACAAACAAATCCTGGTCTTTTAATTATAACTACCCCCGGGTTGACCTGACTTTTATTTTGAATTAGTGTTATGTAGTTATCATAATTTCAAATGAAACATCTACTAAAGTTAACTGTTTTGGGAATGTTAAATATCAGAAACTCTCCACTAGAACATAATAATTCTGTCTCCAAGATGTCCCACTCACCAACATTTTTGATAAGCTTAGTGCCTTTTATTTTTTGGGGGAAAATGAACACAGAAACCAAACTTTCTTTTGTGATCTTTGACTTTGAAGAAAATCAGGCTGCTGTGAAACTTTTTGTTTTTGTCTGAGCTGGAAAAAGAAAACCTTTTTTGTAGTATGAAATAATTAGAACATCTTCTAAGAAAGTGCAATGGATGTTTGCAGCAGTTTTTGTAAATAAAGCGTTGCACACTGCATGGCTTTATAACCCTTGTGAATTAAAGTTACGACAAGGAACTTTAAACTGGTTATGAAACAAATTAAAGAAAAATGAGTGGTTTTCTAAAGCAGTGATTTTTAACCAAGCCGTGACAGATCGTCTGGTGTGCCATGGGAAAAAGTCCAATTTCACTTAATCGGTCCAAAAATATATTTTAGTTGCTGCAAATAATTGCCATTGTTGTTGAGCGTCTGAGCGAGCAATATAGTGGCTGGCTAAGTAATGAAATACTCTTCCATGCCAATGGGTGGCAGTAGGTAGCGCAATAATGACCTTGTTAATTTAAGACAGTAGAAATAAATAATGGAAGGGGTTGTGGTGACAAGACGAACAGCGATGGAGAAATATTTGAAAAGGAAAAAAGTGTAACCTCTGAACTGGGCCCTGGACAAAACTAACACAGATGAAAAGCCTTGTATGAGTGGTGGTCAAAATAAAGAAAAAATGATGAGCTCAAGGCAATACAGTAAAAGTTATCTTTCGTTTGGATTTACTTTCACCAGGGATCCGTCTGCACCGACTCCATTATGCTTGGTGTGTGGGGAAAAGCTATCCAACAGTGCCACGGTCCCAAGCGAGCTTAAACGCCAACTCCAAACGAAACACCCGTCACTTATACACATATGCTGTATTGTGCTACAATGTGTCATTTTGTACGTTTTTTGGTTGTTGGTGTGCCGCTGGATCTAAAGGGGGTTAGAAACACAACCGTCTTTGTCCAGGGAGACTGCCAAAATCGACACAAAATGAAAGATCCTCGTAACAGCTTTAATGTAAGAGGACTATGGGGCCTCATTAAAATGGAAATATAATAAAAACAAAAAACTGGATGACTAGACTGAGTCTGATACAAACTTAAGTGGATCATAAAATATCAGTTATGGAATTAATCTGCAGAAGCTCCGGTTTAAAATGAGACCAAACTTTTCTTTGGATGTCAGTTTGTCAGCCATGACAAAGGCCAAAATGAGGCCTGAGCCAGGCTAGGTGAAGCTCTTTTCTAGCCGAGCAGATGGCCAGAAATGCCTTTTGCTAGTGAAGCAGTTGTTGATCACTACCTGCTGCTTAAGAGGAGTGAAGAGTCAGCAGTCAATGACGGTATAAAACAGTCAATACAATTTTTTTTTCAAAAAGTGTGAATCACTGCACCATGAGAGGTCCTTGAGCATTCAGCCACAACTGAGCACAGAAAATATTAGACTAATGAGTCTTAAGTATTATGCGAGATAGCTGCGGACAGACTGACAAAAACACAACCAAACACATGATCTCAGTCTTACAACTGGCAGAGACAAAAGTATGATTTTTTTTATATTAAAAGAGGGAAAAAGTGTTTCCTTGCTCCACCAGGAAGCCAAATATTTCAAATATAGAAATAAAATCCTTCTCCATTGTGGCCGACCCTTCCACTAATCCAGCCCTCCTTACAGGGGAGGAGGATGTAGGACAGCATCTGCTGATTTATTAAAAGAGAGGAGAGGGGGGGGTTGTTTCGGGGGAATTAGCTCTCTGGGTGTTTAACATCATGGCACCAAGACATAATGTTGAGAGGCTCTTTGGCCTTTTGTTTAGACCAGTTAGTTTGACCTGAGACAATTGACACAATGCAATCTGTGGTTTACAAACCTGTCAGTGCTACTAGAGACTTTCACAGGTGGCTAAGGCTACATCCATACTACTCCGTTTCTACTTGGAAGCAGATTTGTCAAATAAAAACGATCTCCGTCCACACGGCCATTTCAGCATCATTCTCGAATTGATCTGCATCCACACGGCAACCTTCGAAGACGGGCAGCACGTAACCATTAACGTACACTGGGCATGCGCGTGACGGTGTAAACAGGAAGTAGATTGGTTGCTGAGTTTAAAAAAAATACGACAAAGTAATAAAGTAGTCTTCAATAATGAAAGGTTGTATTTGATACTTAAGATCTTCCTCTAAAATATTCCTCTATAAATTCAAACACAGTTCGTGGAAAGTTTTAGAAGTTTTATTTTTCAGACTTAGTTACAGCGCTGTGGGTCTATCTCTCTCTCTCTCTCTCTCTCTCACATCAAATTTACTTTAAAATCAACACTTACACGTAAACGTTTACTAGATTATGGTCCATAAATGTCGTCAACACACGTCTCTCACTCGTTTCCTCTGTGTTTTTGTCTGTGCTCACTCGTAGCTCTGAACATCATGTAACATGTCCGACTAGCTAGCTTCTAAGCTAATTTTAACATTACCGCCAATGGAGAAATGCTAACCGCGATTAGCATTTAATACAACACAAATGCTATATTAAAAGAGAGAATAGAATATATCTTCGTACATCTTTTCATGCTTCATAAAGAAATACTTACAGACTAAGGTCTCTCAAGGCTACCAAACGGAAGAAGTAAAACGAAGCAGCGTGTCTTCTCATTAGAAT